CAAGTAAAAAAAATGTGCAAAAGCACGATTAAAGCTGTTGCTGCAGAGCTCTCAACTTGCAACTATGTAGTCTACATATAAGAAGGAATAAATCACAAGATCGCGGACTTTTTCCTTATTTCTTAGGAAACCAACATCAATTCAGAAAAAGGGAACTTTCAAGGGAAGAAAGAACTGAATTGCTTTGACTAGTTTTCCCTCCATCCATAAGTTGTTTTCCCCTGTCTGTCTCTGTAGGTGTGTATGCATGTAAGGGATCAATTACAAAAGGATTCAAGTTTTAATTTGTAGTGATATATGCTGACAGTTTATAACTGTTTACCTGTGGCTAGAGATTGATATGTTCCAATAAATAGTCATTTTTGTTAAGTACAGAAACATGGTCTGTATTTTCCATCAACTCTGGGCCAGAAAATCAGGTTTATTGGTGAGTCTGACATACTTATTTCAAAATCTTTAACTTTTAAGACGACTGTGGGAATAGCAAGGACTTGATTTCCAACATGTTACCCCAGTGAGTCATGACAACACTTAGATTGTGACTTTTCCATGTTAAATTTAGGCAAACTATTTAAATCCATCTGAAAACCCTTTTGGATATTCAGGCAAATAATAATAGTTTTTTAAAACTATAGTTACACTTCAGTATAATGTCTTTAGAATGTTTTTGTTTCAACTTTCAAGGGAAGTTAGTGTTAAGCAAGACATTTTTTATGTCCTACAATGGATGATTTATGTTTTTGTTTATGTATGTGTGGTATTGGCTTTTTTAGATTTCAAGTTTCTTTCTGGACCACAGAAATTGAGTGAAAGAGATAAAGAGGCTACCATTATCCATTGTATATCCACAAAAACATTTTTTTTTAAATAATTATCACTGTTCAGAATGATCTCTTTATGAATGCCTGAGCGTTGCTGTTCGGTTGCCTTTTTTATTTTACACGTCATAGAGATGTACAGCACTGAAACAGACCCTTCAGTCCAACTTGTCCGTGCTGACCAGATATTCTAAATTAATCTAGTCCCATTTGCCAGCATTTGGCTCATATCTCTCTCAACCCTTCCTATTCATATCCCCATCCTGATGCCTTTTAAATGTTGTAATTGTACCAGCCTCCAACACTTCCTCTGGCAGTTCATTCCATACATGCACCACCCTCTGCATAAAAAAATTACCCCTTAGGTCCCTTTTAAATCTTTCCCCCTCACCTTAAACCTATGCCCTCTAGATTTAGACTCCCCGACCCCAGGGAAAAGACCTTGTCTATTTACCCTATCCATGCCCCTCATGATTTTATAAACCTCGAGAAGGTCACCCCTCAGCCTCCAATGTTCCAGGGATAATAGCCCCAGCCTATTCAGCCTCTCCCTATAGCTTGTTTGGCTATTTTCCAATAGCAAGGCTTTCAAGGTCCTTTTAAAGTCCCAGAATCTTCTACAATGCTTTCTCACTAGTTTCTTGGCACTGATTCAAATTTGCATATTGTGTATTTTGTTTTCATTAATTAACACCTTTAATGTCTTCACCAAATTGGTCACTTCCTTTCCATTATCTGGTGCTTATTTGCAAAATACTATATTGCCACTATGTTTGCTCATTTCAATGTATATAGTCTGTATTACATGAATTATGCAGAAAGCTGTTCAGCTTTTATACTCCATTGACCAGACAGTGTGGAAAATTGCTGAGGTATGTCCTCGCCACAAAAAGAAAGGTACAACCAGCTCTGCCAATGACAGGACATTGGTTAGGCCACTTTTGTAATGCTGCATTCAAATCTGGTCTCCCTGCTACAGGAAAAATGTTGTGTAACTTGAGAATGTTCAGAAAAGATTTACAAAGATGTTGTCAGGCTTGGTAGCTTTTGAGCTATAGGGAGAGGCTGAATTGGCTGGGGCTATTTTCCCTGGAGAGACAGAGGCTGAGGGGTGACCTTATAGAGGTTTATAAAATCATAGGGTGAATAGCCAAGGTCCTTTCCCCAGGGGGGGGGAGTCCAAAACTAGGTGTAAGGTGAGAGGGGAAAGATATAAAAGGAACCTAAGGGGCAACTTTTCCACACAGAGTGTGGTGCATCTGGATGGATACATGAATAGGAATGGATTAGAGGGATTTGGGCCAAATACTGGCAAATGGGACTAGATTAATTTAGGATATCTGGGCGGCATGGATGTGTGGGACTGAAGGATCTGTTTCCATGCTGTACAACTCTACGACACTATCACTCTAATTACCATTTCTTCAGGCTGCTTTCCACCACCTACAAAATGACATAAGGGGTTATTGACAGTGTTTTCGACTGGCACTTATTCAGCAATGACATTCTCCCTGATGCTTGGCTTGGATTCTGCCAGGGCAATAAGCTCCACAGCTCTTTCTAACCTTGATTCAAAGATGAACAAAAGAGCTGAATTTTGCAGATGAATTGAAAATTTCATGTGGTATAAAGGAATCCCGGTGTCAATAGATACCGGGGACAAACTTGCCACTGATTGCATTCATTCCCAGCACAAAGGAAGATGTTTAAGATTGTATCAGAGATAGTAGGAACTGCAGATGCTGGAGAATCCGAGACAACAAGGTGCAGGGCTGGATGAACACAGCAGGCCAAGCAGCATCATAGGAGCAGATTGTACCTGCAGCACATGGATAGCAGTGGTTTAAGAAGACAGATCATCTACCACCTTCTCAAGAATTGTTAAGGATAAGCAATAAGTCAGCAACCCTCAGATCCCCTGAACAAAATAAAAAGTTACAGGTTGGTTTATGAATTATAATGCTGCCACTTGTGAACATATAATGGTGTCTTCTCACCCAACTAGCTGTTTCCTCTTGAAACTGACATTTTTTAATACTTTGAAAGAGCCATTTCCTACTAAAGGTAGCAAAATATATAAAGCGTATGCAAAACCAGAAATTGATGGAAAAGCTCAGCAGGTCTGGAAGCATCTGTGGAGAGAAATCAGAGTTAATGTCTCTGGTCCAGTGATCCACCTCAGAACTCAGAAATAAGAGTAGCCAATTCATTATTGGTGAGGAAGCAAAGCAACAAGCTGGGTTGCAATCTACACCTCACTAAGGGGCAGAAAAGTCAGATAAGTAAAGTATTTAAACTATAAAGAGCCAATACTAATTGTACTAATGAGCATTGTCAATCTTGGTGAGCCTCTCCCCATTTGCTGTAGTGAGTTTTCTCAAACTAAATTCCCAAATTTGCTGCATTTTGTATACACCCTATGGAATTGCACTCATCATGTTTTCCCAGACCTCACTGCCAGGTCGTCCTGGGATCCCTGGGGCTAGTGCCATCTTTAAAGCCCATCCCGTGCATCTGGTCAAGAGTTGGCAATCCTGTACGGTTCCTATCAATTGCCCCAAACCAATCAGACAGAGGGAAGTTGGCATCTGAAAGGACCCTGGAGGACTTGGTGGGTGGGGAGAAGCCACCATTGCCCAGGGAGTGTCCTCTGAGATGTTGGTGCCTAGTATCCAAGATCTCTGTGTTGGAAGAGCAAATGGCGAGCTGGAGTTGTTAGTTACCATTCTCACTTTCATGTTGGTAATTGTCGCCATCCAATTTTTATCCTGCAGGTTGTAAAATGGGAAACTACATATCAACGAGGTGAGGTGCTGCCATAATGAGGATGTTAATGCATGATAATGCATGCAAGCAGGCCCCTTACCTTGTGGTGGTCAGCTTGGTGGTGGGAAAGGGCATTTCTTTCAGAGAGACGGTGCTGTACCTGAATCCTGTTGTGTTCTCATTTCGACTTGAACTATGTTCTTTTTGGGGGTTTGGGGGGGGAAGAAAGCAAAAATTTGCTAGTACTAGAAGTCGGAAACAAAAACCAAGAAGAACTCAATTCTGATGAAGGGTAACTAGACCTGAAACGTGAACTCTGCTTTCTCTCCACAGGTGCTGCCAGACCTGCAGAGCTTCTCCAGCAGTTTTTCATTTATGCTCTCTTGGAGTTGCCCCATGGTTGGCCAATTTTGGCCGCCATCAATTCAGGCCCTTAAAATGACCAATTAAAGACCAGGATGTGGTAATTTTACAATCGTGGCTCCTCATTTAGAGTCTTAAGGATCTGGAGCACCTCACAATTAATTTCACTCAAGTTCAGCCAGAGAGAATTAAATTCTATTCTTGAAAAGTTAGGGCTGGCTAACAGTCAGGTTGACCAATGTGTTTTGTCAAGGTAGCGCATCCAGTGAGATGATAAGCTTTGGGCCTGAGGTCCACTTATCAGAATTGTGGTTTTATTTATATGAATTAGTACTGTACTCTGGTGCTAGTTGTCACCCAGGAGATCCCCAGATGGTGGCTTTTAGGCATGTGTAATTTCACATTAGTGAGAAGGGAGTGAGGTGTTATGTAACTTCTAAGTGAATTTTCTCATATCCATCTCCTTTCTTTTCACCTTTTATTTTTTCACACCAGGTCTGCTGCCACTTGGACTAACACAATTGCAGGCAGCCCTATCTTCATTCAGAGGTATGGTTGCAAACCCTCAGGCAGCTGCAGGGCCATTGAGGAGTTGGCTGGAAAACTGTACGAGGGAGGGAGAAGTTCAAGCATTTGACAGAAGGGTTATGAAGGGTTAGGAGGTGTCAAGGGGGTTGCTGGGGACATGGCATTGACAGGGCATGTTTTGCAAATGGGGTTTGGCAACAAGGGCAGACGGAGTGGAGGAAGGAAGGTGGTACGATGGCCCCTCCCACTATCAAACACACCACACGAGAGGACACAAATCTGCCCCCCCCCATACTCAGAATGTGCATGTAGAGCTAACAAAATTGGAACGGTCTTTGAAACAAAATTTTCTTCCTCAAAAGGCAGTGGAAGTGGAGCGTTTGAATAATTTGAAGAGGAAGATGGATGGATTCTCAGAAAACAAGGCGGGAGATGGTGCAATGTTATCAGGGATAGGCAGAAATGTGGAATTGAGATTACAACCAAATCCTCTACGGTCGTATAGAATGGTGCAGCAGGCAGTTATGTGTGACAATCATCCTTCTGCACTGTGTCTGTTGGGCAATTACCTCATGCTAATCCTCAACTTTCTTCATGGAAGAGGGATGTTTGGATAAATCCCTCTGCCTTGCTACAGTCATGTGACCTTTTGATGTCACGATGGGTAAATAAAGGCTTCAAAGCAGTAGACATTTCACAAACCACACGGAACAGGCAGTGAGGCAACAAGATTGGGTAAGATTTGGGCTGATTGTTATATCCATATAAAAGTTGCAGTATTTGTTGTGTTTCTGGTTTTGCTCATTGCCGTAAAATATTGCCAAATGGAACTAACTTGTAAAAGAAGTTGCAGTGGATTATTTTAAAAAAAAATCTTCAAACTGGCCAAGAGAACGAACTGAATTATTTTTGAATGAAGTTGTGAATGGATTGTTACATTTCTAGATTATCTGCGTTCGTGTTTTGAAGGGGCTGGAGTCTGGGACTGGGGTAGAGGTATCCAACTTTTGAAAGTCATTGCAGCTCACCTCTGTGCTCATCTGAATCTGTAGGTCGAGGTGTATCGAAACTTGAGATTGCTTTCTCTAACTCAGTGCACTGGATACCTTGTTTTTTTTGTGAGCAAACTATATTTTTAAAACAAAGTGATTGTGCATGCAGACTTGGTGGGTCAGCAGATAGGCTAGGTAATGCTCTGGGGCTGAGACCTGTGCTTGCGTGTGCGTGTCTCTGTCTGTGTGTGGACATTGCCATGAGAAAGCCCCCGCTTTTACGGGCGCAGTTTGACTGTTATATCGTCTTGTAAAAAGGGCGAATGCTGCGGAGCTGCAGTGCACACATTAAAACCATGCACACAAACAAAATCAATGCAATATTGATCTCCCAGCTAAACCTACGGGGCTTCTTGATAGATATCTCTTGCCCCCTGGAGATCCTGGGTGTCTGAGGCAGAAGCCAGTGGCGAGAGGGATTGACACTGGGGATAGGTTTCTCCAACTGAACTACTGACCTGTGTTCCCACGGCTGCTTGTAGAGCCTGCTGTAGAATGTCAGGCTGTGTGTTTCAATGGAAAATAATTGGACTTTTCTTTGGAGGAGGGGGAACAGCAATTTTGAGGCCACCAGTGATTGAGTGGTTGTCTCTCTGTCACTTCCCCGATGCATGATTCTTTTTTTGAGCAGAGTTTGGGATTTGGAGAGGGTCTGGGGGTTGTGGAGGCTCATCAGTCTCGCCAGATGGCTGTGGTCATCCAGTAAATTTTCCTCTTTGCGTTAAGATAACGGAGCATTCTTGTGTCGTATAGCTGAGCGGAGAGCAGTGTTTAGTGAGCAAGTTTTTTTTTACTAGTTTCTCATCTGTTTTGATGTGCTGTCTACAAACCTGGTGTGTGTTTGACAATGTGATATTTGTTTTAGTCAACAAAAGCACACCTCCTCCCCCCCGCCACCAACACTGTGAATTCTTTCTCCCCAACCCCTCTCTCCATTTCTCCCTCCAACCCTCCCATTCTCTCTCCCTCCCTCTCTCGCTCTATACCTCCCACTCTCTGGCTTCTCTCCCTGTCTGTCTTTTCTCTGATATTAGAACGTTCTCCCCCAGTTCTCTGCCTGCACTGAAGACTCTCGATGCATCTCCCAGGCCAGCCACTCTGACCTGTGTTGATATCATGAGACGTGATACCATGTACGGGAACAAAACGATGTGGGGGCAGGATGAGAATAGGAATTTGCACTGGGAGAGGGCTCCACTTCCTGTCAGATTGAGGTACTATCTATCAACTGATGAAAGCATTTTGTTGCAGTTGAATGTATGTTCTGACATTGGGCCCGGTTCCTGCCCCAGCAATAATCAGAAACCCCTCTACAATTATCCTAGACACTCATAGCCATCGCACAGTACACTCACTCCAAATCTGCATCCGATGAGCCTTTCTGAATATCTTCAGCCTCAGAATACTCACAGTTCCTGGAGCCCTTGTTGATGAACTCCCTGGTCAAAGCACAGCTTATGAACATAAGTAGGAACAGGAGTTGATCTAATGGCCTGTGGAGCCTACTCCACCATCCAGTATGAACACAACTGGTCTTCAGCTCCAACTCCACCTTCTCCCTCTGCTCCCCATATCCATTGATTTCCCCAAGAGACCAAACATCAGTTCGCCTCTGGGCGGCACGGTAGCTCAGTAGTTACCACTACTCCATCACAGCACCAGGGACCTCGGTTCAATTCCACCCTTGGGCAACTGTCTGTGTGGAGTTTGTACGTTCTCCCTGTATCTGCGAGGGTTTCTTCTGGGTGCTGTAGTATGCTGTCACAGCCCAAAATGTGCGGGTTAGCCGTGGGAAATGCAGGATTTCAGGAATGGGGTGGGTCTGGGTGGGATGGCGTTCACACAGTCAGTATGGACTCGATGGGCTGAATGGCCTGCCTCCACACTATAGGAGTTCTATTCTATCTCAGCATTAAACATATTCAATGAGTGATTAATCATAATCCTCTTCAAGAAAGCAATCCAAAGATAAATAACTTCATGTATGAAGAATCTGCTCCATCCTGGTTCTAAATGATCAGCCTCTGTACTGTTGGGCTTAAAAATGATATCTCATTCAGGGTTAATTGGACATGATTGATCTACAGTGGAAAAATACATGCAACAGCACGGCTGGTGCAAAACCACGCTGTTCAGAGCTGGAGGTAACTGCATGCCCCTTGCTAGGTGAGAAACAGAATATTGTAAAGTTAACGTGGGGCCACCTGGAAATGTGTTTCAACTTGTTTTCTGCAAAGTAGACTGGAAAAGGACTGAAAATGCTATGAAATGGTGATCTGGCACGTAATATTAGATTCAAAATAATATTAATGTCGGGGTCTTTGCTGCACTATTTGGACTTTCACTATCATCCTGGGGTTCACCAGACCAGTGCCCTGGCATCTGATATAGAGCTCCATGTGCTGCTGTCACCAAAGATCCCAACAAGTCGAAAAGCAATGTGAGCCTCAATGGTTTAAATATATCTCAATAGTTTAACCCAACTAATCAGCCTAATATATATCAATTGTACAAAGTAACAATTAATAAGTAGTGGATTAGTAAATAATAAGTTAGCTAATATATTAATGTGCATGTGTCTCCTTCTAATCATTTTGATCAGACCTTAAAGATCCTATTCAGCCTAACGTTACAGCCTCTTATCCTCAGACTGTGTTCCCATATTCCAGATTCCTCCACTGAAAAAATGGCCTCTTGGTATCTACCCTGTTCAGTTTGTTCAGAACCTTGAACATTACGATGAGACCACATGCAATTCCCATAAACTCCAAAATGTATACACCCAATTTACTCAACTCACACTGGCCAGGGACGTAACACTTCCAATGTTTCCTTCTCTAAATCAGGAGACCCAAACTGCGCAGTATTCTCGGTGTGTTCTTGCCAAAGTGCTGTAAAATTATAGCAAGACTTCTTTTTCCTTGTACTCCAAATCCTGTAATGTTAACTTTTTAACTTCTTTTATTTCTTATTTTTCTAACTTGTACGATGAATAACTGTCAGGTAAGGTAACTTTCCTTTACTTCTATATTTTGTAATTAGGATTTGTAACTAAGAACTTGTACCTAAGGTGGTGCGGTGTAGAGCAAAATTGTAAACTTTTCACTGTGTTTCTGTACTTGAGTACACATGACAATAAACCTAATTCTAATTCTAAAATCCCTTGTAACAAGGCCAACATGCAATAAGACTTCTTAATTGCTTTATCTGTATGCTAATTTTCTGTGAATACAACCAAGACTCTCTGAACACCAACATTTACAGGTTTCACACCTTTTTTTTAAAAAAAATTTGCTTTTCTGTTCTTATGACCAAAGTAAATAAGCTCTCACTTTTCCACATTACATACCATCTGCCATCTTGTTGCCCGGACTTACCTTTCTTTATCTCTGTCAATCTTTTGTTTCCTCATCGCTTACATTTCCCATTCCTTTATCAGCAGACTGGCTATCCTTGACTCTAAATCATTAACACAGACTGTAAATAGCTGAGGCTACAACATTGATCATTGTACGCTCCACTATTTACAGCCTGCCAACTTGGAAAGACCCCAGTTATCCTGGCACTTTTCCTTGCAACCGCAGGAAGTGCTACACCTGCCCCTACACCTGCCCCCTCACCTCCATCCCAGGCCCCAAGAAGACTTTCCACATCAAGCAAATGTTCACCTGCACATCTGCTAATGTGGTATGCTGTATCTGCTGTTCCCGTTGTGGCCTCCTCTACATCGGGGAAACC